GTATTACTAAATGAAAACTTGTGGTTTTCCTGGAAACCATTTGTGGAACTGAAAAGGACATAAGGTTGAGTTCAACAAAAGTACATTTAATACATCTGAGAAATATCTAACTGGCAAAATTTTGCACAAATTAACATAATTTGTCATATCAGGTGTTTCTGTGCTATTACTTACAAAGTGTTAAATGGTAATACAATCAATATACATTCATCTAACCTGACTAAGTAACTTGTCAGAGAACCATCATAGCTTATCACCAAGAGCTCAGCAGACCTGKACAATTATTAGAGAAGTATAATGAATGGATGAATGAATATATTGATAAATGAATGGATGGTGGGATTGAATGATGAAAAAGAAGGATGGAGGGAGGGTAGGACACCTAAGCTCCCAGATCCTTCTCATTTTCCCTACAGAAAAGAATAGGCTCTGTTTGGAGAAAAATGAGTATTTGATTTGATTTCGATCTTTTATTAATGGTAAACAGAAAAGCGTCTTGGTACAAGAATTGGATGTGGATGGATGGATAGAAGAATAGAAAGAAAGATATATGGATGAATAAAGAGGAAAGGAATGGTGGATACAAAAGAGGTAAAGGGAATAAGAGAGATGCTTTGGAGGACACTTAAACTATGAATGAGATGAGAGATGAGCTGATAATAAAAGGGAATAAAAGAAAAAGGGATGAGAAAAATGAGGGATAAAATGAAAAAACTAGYGAAAAAGTAAAGAAAATAAAAACAAAATTACCATTGTGCATCACTCTTAAGTTCAACAAACACCAAACCAGAAACAGCTTTACTGAGATCAAGTGGCAAACCAACTGAGCCTAATGGAGTCTGTCAAAAAAAACATCATTAAAATTGTTTCTTATTGCATAATAATAGGATGAAAATCATTCTGTAGATTACCTGATTAATGATGAATAATAGTTCCCCAGCAAGATCAAATACTCTCACTTCACCAGAACTTAAAAAAGAACATCATGAGTACTATAAGTGCCCAATTCAGTGCTTTTGTTGCTGCAGAGAAACCTACCTTGAAGAGCATGCCAACATTGAATAATCTTGACTCCAAGTCAGTTTACGCCATTGAGGATAAGGATCTTTATCAACTGTTAGGCATGATATAATGCACAATAAATAAATTGATTATCTCTTTATTCAAATAATGGATGCATGAATGTTGGTACAACAAATGAATGGATGAACAAATGACTAGATGAACAAATGAATGGAAAATCAAAGGAATGAATGAGGAAATAAAAAGTGCATGAAACTCAGAACCTACCACAACAAGTAGCAACAACTGTACCAAAATCATCTTTTACAGATCTTAACATGAAACAAACAAAAATAYCAATTTTGATTATTTTATACTAGGATTTAAATATCCTTTATAAAATTAATAAAAAAGAAAAGTCAAGCTCAGGTCAATATTGCCAAAATGTATCATTGTATGGTAGAAATGCACATTGGACCATACTAACTATTTTTGAGTTGCATAATATTGCTACAGTTTACCTTATTTCAATGCAGCTTTCTTGYAAAACAGCCAACAGGTTACCATCACTGTGGATGACAAGAATCAACTTTTTAAAATATCCTCTAGATAACACAGGGAGCCCAAAWAGAAGAATGTGATTGTGGTCAGACACAGGAAGCCCAAAACAAAGAAAGATATATCAATATATATTTGCTACAGAATTTTACCTTGAGAGTGCAAAACTCCACTGTGAACCACCATTTATGACATTAAACAATTCAGCAGGGATRCCATTAACCATTGATGTTCCACTACAGCACCAAAAACAATACATTAAATAATATTATAATAATCATCAACAAATCTTCATTTTCACTTACCTTATGACCTGATGGGCTCCTTGGAGAACCCATTGAAATGAATCTGAAAGGAAAGCATTTTTATTAATAATATTTAATATTTCATTAGGCTTATCATCATACCTACAACTTAGTAACACCAGAACTTTGATTTTGAAAAAGAGGCTGTTTCCAGAATACAGTACACGTAAATCTAATTATTTATAAAATGCTACTTTTAAGCTACCCAACTAGTTGCTCTAATTCATATCATTTAATAATTGCTAATATGTACTTTTTGTTACTGTCCAACATTTCTTTGGTAGAGAACCACGGAGCTCACCAACATCAAATCCAGCTTTATTCTGTKAACAAATGAATGTCATACATTTAAAAAATGACTGGTATAAATACTGAGGGGGGAAGGCATGGACTAGGAATATTTTCCCAGTGCCATCTTGAAACTAAGGCAACTTTGCTTTTACATCAAAGTGAGATGACAGTTGCGTTTGTAATGGTTTCTGTGGTTCGTTTACCTAGGTRTTAAGTAAGATACATATTTCCTCTTCAATACAAGTTAAAATGTGGCCGGGAAGAGTAAAAAAGAAATTTGAAAGGAAAGGAAAAGGAAGAATGCATGTCAATGTCATTCATCCCAAAATATCCAAAGATTCTCAAGTTGATATTTTGTAATAAAAGATATGATATTTCTAATCAAAAGACCATAAAACAAWTTTTTTTTTCATAGTGAAAGAATTTTTAGCTGATGTTATATAATTTATTCATAAGATAGTTTAAAAGTCACCAATTGGATATTTATATTTACAGGGAATTATATACATTAAGGAAGTCATTAGTATTAGTATTTACAAAATATGAAATTGAAAATCTGAATTTTATTACACATTTCGTTCCAAGGACACGTAGTGAAACTGAACAAAATAAAATCCTTGCAATTTCTGCAGGTTTTCGAGGACGAAATTCATCCATATTATAGGACATTAAGCTACGCATGTTATCTTACCAATATCTCGCCTTCGAGGGGCCATTCAGCATGTACAAGAAGGTCATATAAAATAGAATCACTTGAACTATCACCAGAACTAGAAGCCGCCATGTTGGATTCTAGCTTCGGTATTCTCCTCGGTAAGTGATCGGCTAAAATTCGGAACTCGGGTAAGCGATTCATTATTGACTGTTCCAATCCGCGTTTCTTGATTGGTCAGTTCTTAACGACGAAGTCAACTTCAGCAAGTCGCGGCAAAGTTGAACGTTTATTCCACTGAGAACAACAAGAAGAAACATATACTGCTTGAAAAATCGTKCTTTTAGTTATACGATTGGCATTATCTAAGCACATATCCAWAAATTCAACTCCCGAAAGCGTTATTTGAGATTGAGAAAGCAAGATGGCGTCTGTTAGATCTCTYGTTAGAGGAGACGAGAACGCTCAAGTTGGTTTTCACTCAAAAACTGGAGCACAAGGTTTGTCATTTGTTTTAGCTATAACTTTTGAARCAATTGCAMATCTTAATAATTTTTACTTCTGCAGGACGGACCAATGGACCTGCGAAGGGTTTGAAGTTCAAAGARGGATTACAGACTCCAAGAAGAGCCCTCGGAGACGTAGGAAATATCTTCAAGACYCCAGGAAATGTCCCAGAGAAATCTACAATGCTCAAATCAAACCAACAACACATTTTAAAGTCATCAAAACAGAAAATCAAGTCGACACCACTAGGCTCTCACAARCAAAAAAGCTCTGTGAAGACAGTAAGAAAAGATGTTTTTGGAGAAAGAGATTTTAGTTCTGGAAAAGAAAAAATGATTCCCTTTGTAGATGATGGTAAGTTCTCTCTTCTTAGTAAAAACTTTTCAAATCCAAGAGTTGTGAAATATTAGAAATATTTGATATTTCAGACAAACCCTTACCAAGATCARATGCTGTGAAGACCATTCTACAAAATGTCCATCACCTATATAGAGGATGTATGCAGCCATCTTCGTACAAAAAGCCTCTATTTATTGATAACGACCAAAAATGTAATCTAGAAAATTTGGACACAGCACAAGAACGTCAGAATACAAGTAAGTATCTAAAGGAGGGCTGGTCCATCTCGGGAGAAAACATTTTCAGAGAAAGCAAAAATCTTTTAAAATTTGTCCCTCAGACGAAAGCATTTTGACATCACATCCAAGGATTGCCCTGATTTTTATTACAGCATTTTCCAAAGTCTTCTAAAGAGTGATCACATGAGAAAATACAGTTATCAAAATGACTGTAGCTTTTTCAAATATGCTTTACTTTAGAGGTCAAGAAGTAACTTCTGTTTTATTCAGGGTTTTGGTCAAATGGCTGTTAGCACTTCCAAAAAATGTAATGCCRGGGAAATAAATAAAATTCATGTTTAGCAATGATCACATATTAATGTTGATTTTAGGTGATGCCTTAAGTTGGCTTCCAGAGATAGATGACAGCTTTTTGGAAGTTTCTAAGCTACAAACTGGTTTGGACGACCTGGACTTACCACCTATAGACACAGATCTGTCTGGACTAGGGTTACCATGATAACTATTAATAATATTATTTTCTATTAATAGTTATTGATAATGATTAACAAAACAATGTAAATACTAGATCTGATGTACAACAACCATGACGTGATTAGTTTCAGTAAATAGAACTTCCTAAAGCTTGATTCTGTATATATTTAAATTTTAACTTTTGTGTTTAATAGTTTGTAGAAACGTTTTGTTTGCATTTAAGCAATTTATTATCATTATATTATTCTCCAAGATAAAAATATGTAATATGATGATACATTGTGAAGTTTTATTTAAAAAATAAAGTTTTTATTGACAGTATGTCTTATGAATTTCATTTCTTTCATACCAAAGCCGAGGTTATAATATATTTTTTATGCATACATTGTAACCACAAGTAGCTTTGCTATGGCAACACTGGTCCCAAGTTGATCGCAGTAAAAACAAGCTTGAACATGTGAAACTTGAACTGTGAAACTATTTTGTATTATTCAGGAAATGCTAGTTCTTTGGTTTTCTTTGGACCTTGCAGGCCCGTAAGCTGGGAGGGTTCGGGGGGTACGGACAAACCCCCCACAAGCCTTAAAGGTCCGTTTTTCCCTTTTTTTATTCTATTTTAAAATTCTTTTGTTATTACAACGAACTGTTTGTGAGATTTTTTGAGTATTTTGTTATGAACTGTTCAATAAAGATGAAGAATTATTTTCATTTCACCGTGAGTCAGACACGGTTGGTACCAAACTTTTAATCTATATTTTCTTTTGTTCTATATGATTAATATAAATCACTAATCACATTTTTGGAACTTCAAGTCTAGCTTTTAAAATAAACTGAACACATGCAAGGCAGCATTCAAAATAACTTTAAGTTAGGCTAGTTTTAATTTCCGTAAAGCCGCGAGCATTATTTCATCAACCGCATCAATAATTCAATACTTCATGGTAATCTTGCAAGAAACATTTTTGTCGAGCCAATGAATATTTCGTTATACTCAATACAACCAACGAAGCCATGAACATCAACTCGGGTTTGCTTTTTCGTTTATCGATTATCGCCTTCCTCATCGTTAAAGGTAATTTTCCTTGAATTCCTGSGTATTGCATATTTGAACGAGTCCATGCCCCAAATTGGACCGATTATTTCAATTCAACCAGCCGTCGTATAAATGCCTAACTTTGCTTCAACGCTCTTTTTGCACCTTCTGCACCACCTTTTTCAGTATCTCGACCTCTTCTATTTGTCACAATAGCAGTTCTTACGTTAAAATTGTAGAGATACTCTGGGACTTTAGGTGTTGTTTATAGAACGAGAGTGGCATGTTTTATCGGGATGGCCGGGATATATGTGGCAAATTCCAGGAGTTTTGGTCCGACTTATTATCGTAACAGAATATTACAATCTTGCGAGATGTCGTGCGCCGAACTAAAGGCCCTGAAAGTCTGAATGTCGACATGTTGAGCAACGGTGGGATAATTATACAACTAATCTTGCGGAGTGGGTCTTTAATTCCCCTTTGTATCACTGAAATTTTGCGGGGAATTTTCATCACGGCCGAAWCAGTAGATCATCGAACACATTATTTAGAGTCCTACTGGTGACCGAATTCATGCAATTTGACAAAAAGCTACAAAATATGACAGAAAACTTTCCAGAGGATGATATCTCTTTCACAATTAGATTCGTCGTAAGGAGATCGCCGGAATTTTTTAACAGTCGCATTAAGAATGAATGTGAACGCAGCATTTTCGATTGAAATCGTACACCCCTTTCGTTTTTTTTCTTTTTTCTTTTCTTGCAAACTTTATATGATTGTTTTTACTTGAATCTTCTTAAGTTGTGCTTTTCATTTTCCGATCAACCCCTCTATGATATTCAGTAGAAATAATGGAAATTTAAGTAGATAAACGAGTTATTGCTAAAAACTTATGGCTCATGTTTTTCAACCATTGTATTAAAATTCAACTAGGAAGAAAATTTGGCGGCCATCTTGGGGCAACGAAAAGACAGAATGAAATTCACTTGCTAGCCACACTGACGTCATCTATGATTATTAATAGGCATTAATATTTGACAATAATAAATAATGACATTTTTGTTAATTTGTATTTACACAGGTAACGATGCCTGCAGAAATCTTGAGTTTCTCCCCTGTAYGAAAAACAAGACTTTAAATGGTCATGTGATAAAGGCCTTCAAATTTGTAGTTCCTGCGTTAGAGTTTTGCCAAGCGAATTGTTTTATCGAACGCCAGTGTGTGTCRTACAACTTGGGTCCAGTAGACGGTCAGACCAGGACGTGTGAGTTGAGTGCTGCTGATCACTGGACGCGACCCAAATTCTTGGATTCAAAAGAAGGCTTCGAGTACTGTCCAATCAAGGTAGTAAATTTTAATCCAAAATCTCTTGAAACTCTTAGTTCTAAATGGGAATTGTGATATTTTGTTTTTGTTTTTGTAGAATCCTTGTTCGTCAAATCCTTGTCCTGCAGATAGACTCTGTACACCTGATTTCAGTTTGGACACCTTCAGCTGTGATGGTAAGGGGGCTTTAGAAGTATAAATACAGATACGAACCGTTTTTTTGTGATATTTAATTACAATGAACAAGCATTATTTCAGATGGGGGCTGGACACAGTGGAGCTCCTGGAGTCCCTGCATCAAGTCATGTAGCTTGCTTAAAACAAGGACGAGAAGTTGTTCAAACCCTGCTCCTCAAAATGATGGTTCTCAGTGCGTTGGAGTGAAGAAAGAAATAAAAGAGTGTAATTCTTTGTCATTTATAGGTAGTCTATTGTCATCTATTAACCCTGGATAAAGATTGCGCGCTGGAAAGCCTGAGAATATTCTGGAAATATTTTGTAAATTCAGTGTATGTAAATATCCTGTACGTACCATGTAATTTCAAGTGTCCAATATTCTGTAAATTATAATTATGGGATTTTTACATCGAATTTACAGGAATATTTACATTGTATTTAAAGGTTTTAGAGAAGCGACTCAGTTTTTTTACCAATACAAGCTTGTATCAATGTTTTTGTCATTTTGTCCTGTCTTAACTGACGCGGTGATTTACTCGATTTCTTTATAACAGAATTTAGGCATATTGGATGCTTTGCGGACAAAAGCAGTGATCGCACACTGCCCACAACATTGACGTCAGTACCGAAACCTTACAGCATTTGCAGCTGCGCCCTGCAGGCTCAGCCCAAAGGCTACGTGATGTTTGCTGTCCAAAGCCAAGGAAACGCATGTAGAACCAGTCGAACTGCTCGTGAAACCTACAAAAAGCATGGACATRCAAACAACTGTGGAAATGGACTTGGAGGGGGCTTGGCTAATGATGTTTACGAGTTTATTCGTGTGGAGAAAACTGAGGGAGAAGGTGGGATGCTTTATTAGATTACTAAAAAACAAACATGAAAATTATGAAGAAGTAATACATACATGAGACGCTGGTCATTTCTGTCTAATCATCCGGCATCTTTTATTGCAGATGATGTTTGGTGAGTCGAAAAGATGCTGCAACAATGTTTTAGTTACTGATTTTACCCCACTACATACTGATTAGTACCCCCCCCCCTCCCCTCCCTCCTCTAGTCAGACGCTTTAAGAAACGGTGCGCAAAATCGAAAGTTGGACTGTAGACTAACGCTTCCGATAAAGACTAAAATAATGCTGTGTAATGAGAATGAAAGTGATTCAAATTGCAAAAATATGATKCCTGTTAAATTGTGCCGGGGGCTCGTGTGTTTTTTCTCATGAATTAATGATTGTGTCCTTCCCACCTTCAAGTTAAATTCTGTTTGACTTCGAAACGGGCCTTTTGCTTTCATGTTGCAAGTGAATCACCCTTTGATCCATGGACCGGTCTCCTAAAGCCATCCATATTTTGTARAATGACTTTTGTCAACGTTTATRAAGACAACCACTTTGGAGCTGTACGAAGACTARGGGATTCCTTTATATGTAACAATGGTGTATGCKTTGGGATTTATTCATTAAAACAAAACAAGTCCAAAACAGATGTTCTTGATCTCAGTTTCTTAGTCCTCGATTCATGCAGCGTGGAATCCCACTGCTGTTGTTAGGGATTCAAGAAAAAACTTTCCTCCGCTCTCATTGGTCGAGAGTCGGTCACGTGACGCGAGCACATATGGGTTACATAGATCTCGCAAAATTAAATGATGCAAAAAATTTTCCTACGATCTTTTAGTTTCTTATACTATTGTTTCAGGAGGAGCCGACGGGTTCCTGGGAGAAATATATCTGTTCTTATAAGAACAGATATATTCCAGCTGTAAGTCATAACTGGTTGCCACGGAGAAATTCCATGAAAAAAAGACTCTCCGGGCAAGGAATATTTTCTAAGAATTTTTGCCAAATTTCCTTACTAAAAAAATATAAGGTGGTTTTCACTATAAAAACGTTGCCCAGAACAAATTTAATTTAGTTAAAGCAGAAGGGTGCCACATTTGCTTGTGAAAACWGTTATTTAGAAGAACAGACCCCGTTGGCTCCTCCTGTTGTTTGGGTCAGTGTGTTTTCTTTGACTTTATCAATAATTGATAAAGATATCTTAACTGAAGTTTGACTTGAATTGTATTACTGTAACCAAAGCACAATACAAACAATAMCAACAATACAACCGTAGACGATGGTAACAAGATAAGTTGAACAAGACAAATACCGTCTGACATGGACTCAAATGACTTGTTTCTTCGTTTGTTAAGTATCAGCTTCGTAATTTTCCACGTAAGAGGTAAATATAAAKTTCTCCCTTTTTTATCCTCTTGAATTATTATTATTATTATTCATTTATTTTTTTCCTCTTTTTCTTTTTGGGGAATTTTWAAGTATCCCCAMWCAAATTGAGATGTTTCATTATGTTATGTTCATGTGTTTTTCTCTTTTTTTTTGTGGCTTTTTCTTCTCGAAATATTTAAGCTCTAAGGGAATACCAAATTTCACACAATCTCAATTGTCAGACTGAATGTCGTAGTTTATATCATGCAATTCCATATAAAAGAAAGTTTAAACTTCAAGAACTTTTAACTTCTCTTGGACTGGATTCCAAAARCAGCTACTATAMCCCAAWGTTTTTTATCKTTTGTATGCAAATTTCAGTTTTGAGGGATAATTCAGCCTTGAGTGTAAGTAACTACAATGAAACTAGTTATCAATTATCAGTTATCAAAAATCAAGATGTTATATCTACTGAACGTAGCAATATTTTTTAATGCTGTTATCGTATACAAAAGCCTTTCATTGTCGGAAATAATTTGTTTTTGAGTTTGAACATGCAAGTTAAATCTTGGAACAATGATTTTTCTTTTTCTTTTCTTTTTCGTTTGGATTGTTAAACGCCACTCGCGTTGTCCTTAAATGAAAGGGGGTAGTAGTAGCTTAATTTTCAAGTTTTGGTTATATTTCAGGAGGGTCTCAATGGGGTGGTACACATCACGACTCACGGCTAAAAATTTGGCGATTTCACGACTCACGACTAATTTTTTCGAATTACGGTTAAGTAGATTACTTTCAGAAAATTTTGAAATACGTTTTTCATTACTTTTTCATAATTTGTTTTGTGCTTGAGATAGTGAGTGTGGGAGCACACAGTGTCCCCGGGCTTGTACGTTGTACTGGCTTGTACGTTGTACGGGCTTGTACGTTGTACGGGCTTGTACGCTATAGACACTCAGTTATCATCACTCTCAGATGTCAAATTTTGTCCATGCCCTAACTTGTCTGCAGGACCATGCACTCATTTAGTATGTTAGTACATCGAAGACTTTGAACGGGAGCCGTTCATATATCCACTTCGTAAAAATAAGACGGTTCTCGGGAAAGTGAAACACAAGAGATGACAATAATTATGCAAAAATAAATAAATAAAAAAAAAGATAAACAATAAATTAAATAAAAAGGAAAAAACAAAATCATTAAACGTCTCCTCCAGGGAATCGATCCCGCTACCGTCAAACCTACATTGGATTTGCAAGCGGCGCCTTAACGCGGTGCGCCACGGGATCACTCTCATTTACATAATAATAGACCACTTGACACTTTCACCGAATAGACTACCCCAATTTGACATTATACTTTCGATAGTTGCCTAGTTAGTGCAAGGGGTTATCCATCAGTGTCTAGGGGCCGGATAGCTTCTCCCTCACTGGCTTTTTAGTTAGCGCGAAGTTAGGACCAATTATCGGGATAGCATGGAAGAGCCGAAATCTCTAACCGGAATGTAAATCGATTCGCCGCCTCAGCTTCACNCACATTTAACTCGGCATAGAATACATCATCGCGAAAAGCGACACTTAATGAATTCGTAAACTCCGATGTCAGACACGAACTGCAGCAATGTCACTACTATGTTCTCAATACCTGCTATGTTTAACAGTTTATGATTAATCATTTTTTCGTGGAAATAGTCGCATCTCGGCTTATTTGAAATAGAAAAATCCATGTTCGTACGAATAAGTCACGCAGTCTATTCATACGAAAAAAGAAACCGGCAATGAAAAACGTAATTCAAAAATTTCTAAAAGTAATCTAGTTAACCTTGATTCGAAAAAAATAGTCGTGAGTCGTGAAATCGCCAAATGCGTACCACCCCATTGAGACCCTCTTATAGAGATCTAATATCTAATTGGGGTATAGAGTTCTATGCTAATATATGACGTCACCTAAATCCTTAGGGAGTAGCGAGCCAATCAGAGCTCAGCTCAGGAATTAGCAAGCGATATACAGCTTTGCATAATCATTCTTCAGTGKATTTATTATTTGACGGGGGTGGGGTTGGTTGCTGAGTGCTCGTTTTCGACCGAATACTGATGTTCGATGTAATGTGACGGCTTTCACCAAGCTGTTCAATTSTTGTTATTGTTGTCCAAATCATCACATTTTAAATTAGTTTTAYAGTTCTTATATCAGACAGGCATTACTAGTAWTCGGATAAAAAGCACGACAAAAATCTCTTGGAATTCGTAAGACAATAAAAACGTATGATAGGAAAAGTGTCTTGTTTCTGAATCAGCAGTGCTGTTTTTATCTGTTCCTARAAATCAAGTTACACATTCCCTTTTTATCAAATATTTGTATACTCAGATCGATCCCATGGCAACACAGACCAAACCTCCCCAATGGGTGTATGTAACTAGTTGTTAATTTTTTTCAACAACCGTGTCTAATTGATTAATACTTCGCCTACAGCTAAGCATGGTTGCAAAGAGTTTGACTACCTCCCCTGCATCAAAAATAAAASCCTGACAGGTCACGTGATCAAGTCCTTCAGAGTCTTAGTTCCAGGATTAAAGATGTGCCAAAGGAAATGTTTCACTGAAGGCCAGTGCGTGTCGTACAACTTGGGCCCAGTAGACGGTCAGATCAGGACGTGTGAGTTGAGTGCTGCTGATCACTGGATGCGACCCGCCAAGTTCTTGGTCTCCAAAGAAGGCTTTGAGTACTGTCCGATAAAGGTTGGCATTTCAAAAACAAAATCTGGCTTTTGGTTTTAGGAAATTTATATTATTTTTGGTTCATATTTAGAATCCTTGTTCGTCAAATCCTTGTCCTGCAGATAGACTCTGTACACCTGATTTCAGTTGGGATACGTTCAGMTGTGATGGTAAGTGCTGAAATTCTGGTATCGCAGGGACAAAGGTACTGAGGTGGCTATAACTTCAACGATTAACTTTCGCAGTTCTTTTCACTCTGTTTTATCCTTCTTTCTTGCTATTCTTCTATCAGAGTTTTCAAATACATCAGTTTCTTTTGTAAAAAACTCAGTCAAATTTCATTGTTTCATTACTCTACAGACGGCGGCTGGACACAGTGGGGCTCCTGGAGTAAATGTTGTATAAACAAACAACAGAAAAGAACTAGAAGTTGTTCAAACCCCGCTCCTCAAAATCACGGCTCGCAGTGTGTTGGAGAAGCACAAGACACAAAGGAGTGCACGTTCAAAATTGGTAAAAACATCTATATCGCCATATATCCCTGGAGTTTGTCGTCGGAAATATCTACAAAATACCCCTATAAGTCCCCTATAAAGTTGGGCGTATAAGATTTCAACCCTGATACGTTACACGTATCACGATTACATGTTATACTGAAAATACTTTGAATTATTTTACTTGAGGGTTCGGTGGGGTGAGGGGCCCAGGTTATAGTTCTCATTAGCTATCTTTCAACATATCACTCCCTCGTTCACTTTTGCGATTTATTTCCTACAGACTTCAAGTACATTGGCTGCTTTGAGGACAATTATAATCCGCGTGCMTTACCTGTAAGATTGCACCCGGCAGTCAGACCATACAAAATTTGTAGTTGTGGACTTCTGGTTAATRCCAAAGGCTATAAGATGTTCGCWCTCCAATWTAACGGCWATGAATGTTGGAGTGGSCCATATGCACGTAAAACCTACAATAGGTATGGAAATGCAAGCAATTGCCTCCCAAATGGGCTTGGAGGATTGATGTCCAATGATGTGTATGAGATTATAGGTACGTAYATCTTGGGACTAAATCCAGTGGAACCCCGCAATACGRCCACTCGCTGAATACGGACAAYYCATTATAAAGTCCAGAATTTTAGATCCCGGTGAATTAAGCCGTCATATGTTTCTGCTCGGACCACCCCGTTAGTACGGCCACGTTTCTATACCCCTTCAGTGGMCGGAATAACAAGTTTCTACTATACGATTTCCCATAGAACGAATCAAGTGTACGAACGATGTCGTTTCCGATCGTATTAAGCGATGGAGGAGGGAAGCAGTGAAATTTTCATAACTCTCATGTAACAATACCTGTGGTTCACACCCTTGACAATATTACATCATTAAATTGCAGAAGCTCCATGAAAATTGAGCCCAACGAAAGAACGAAGAAGCGCATGTTCACCGTGTCACATACTTGTTGAACACCTSAAAAATTGTTGACAAATTTCTACAAAGAAATACTGATTCTATTGTATCTCAGCACGTTCTCAATTGTATTGTATCGTTACTCTATTGCTATTTATATAGAACTTATGATCTTAATTTTTGTCAGTGCAGTTCAAGTACATATAAGTATATCAGAAATTATGGCATATCATCGCCAATATTTTTTTCAGAAAGTACTATTGCTAGGCAACTTCAAAAAAAATAAAATAAAAATATTGGCGATGATGATTTCCAGTTATTTTTCCTGCAAGAGGTCCATAACTAATTACACTCAAAACAAGATTGTTAGTGCTTATTAAATTATTGTTTCCTACTCGGATTTTTATTCTTGTTGCATGTCTTCTAAGCGATCGTTCGCTTTCACAGCATATTTTGTAGAATGAGCATGTTACTGAAATAAAATTTTAAGTTAAAAAAAAATATTGCATGTAAAGTGTTACAAATCATAGCAGTGGAAGAATTTCTAGTGCCCGTGAAAGTTTGCAAAGGCAAGAAAGGACTCCTTTATACATATAACAATGGTGCAGAGATGTTCATTGCAAAAATTAACAAAAAAAGCTCAAAAAAAGGGGAACAAGGCCAAAACCGCTGGTTTCTAAGWGGCCTCGATTAATACGCGCGCAGTGCATGCTATACTCCAATCTTTGAATTCGAACTACTGTGTAGTAAGAGTGGTATTTGAGACACGTCGGGGCCTTACTCAAAAGATCGAGGATATACTATCCATGCATATGTGCTATTAGGCATCGCTGCCATGAAGAAACCACTCAGGCCCCGCAAAATACAATGATCAAAAAATTGTTTTGGTTTGTTAATAATTAATAATTTTCTTCATTTTTTCAATATTAGAATTTTGTTAAGAGTRTGTATATATGAAGTACTTATCATTGAACAGCTGTTGAACCTGCTTCAGCAATGCAAGTTGACGATTTTTTTGTTTTTCTGATGACCATCCAATTCGTTATCGTTAAAGGTAAACTTGTTTTTTAGCTACTATAGTTACTTACTATATGACCACGTAAAATTAGTGCTATATCTCCAAACGTAGCAATTGTTTTTTTATAAATGCTATTATCGTATACAACAGCCCTTCATTGTCAGAAATAATAGAGTTTGAATATGCAAGTCAAATCTTGGAACACTGTTTTTCTCTTTTTCTTTTCTTCTCTTTTTTTTCGACCTCTTTTTTTTTCGACTGACCTCTATAAGAGGGTCTCAATGGGGTGGTACGAATCACGACTCACGGCTAAAAATTTGGCGATTTCACGACTCACGACTAATTTTTTCGAATCACGGTTAACTATATTACTTTCAGAAATKTTTGAAATGAAAACAACGTTTTTCATCACTTTTTCATGTAATTTGTTTTGTGCTAGAGATACAGTGAGTGAGTGTGGGAGCACAGTGTCCCTTGTACGTTATAGACACTCAGTTATTTTAATTTTTTATTTCAAATGTCAAATTTTGTCCATGCCCTGACTTGTCTGGGAGACCTTGTTGGTAGGTGCGATCCATTAGAATTTTTGGGGGAGGGGGGATAAAAAATATTCACGACTCACGGCTAATTTTTCAGCCGTTTCACGGCTCACGGTTAACCCTATTGAGACCCTCATATAAAACAGCGTGCATCTATTTGAGTGTTAACCGTCAAGTTTTGTTTATTTCAAAATAAAAAAAACGTTTCTGTTTCAAAGATAGGAAAAGTGTCTTGTTTCTGAATTAGTGTTTTTTTACTGTTTCTAGGCTTAAAATCAAGTTACACATTCCCTTTTTATCAAATATTTGTATACTCAGATCGATCCCAACAACACAGAGCCTATCGACCAAAACTCCCCACTGGGTGTATGTAACTATCAATTTTTTCAACAACCGTGTCTAATTGATTAATATTTCGCCTACAGCTAAGCATGGTTGCAAAGAGTTYGACTATCTCCCCTGCATCAAAAACAAAACCCTGACAGGGCACTTGATCAAATCCTTCAAAGTAATGGCTCCTGGATTAAAGATGTGCCAAAGRAAATGTTTCACTGAAGGCCAGTGTGTGTCGTACAACTTGGGCCCAGTAGACGGTCAGATCAGGACGTGTGAGTTGAGTGCTGCTGATCACTGGATGCGACCCAAGTTCTTGATCTTTAAAGAAGGCTTTGAGTACTGTCCGATCAAGGTTAGTAATTCCATCGTGAAATCTTCAAGAACTGTTTGGTGTTATGGAATTTGTAACGATTTTGCTTCTTTAGAATCCTTGTTCGTCCAATCCTTGTCCAGCAGGTAGACTCTGTACACCTGATTTCAGTTGGGATACGTTCAGCTGTGATGGTAAGTGACTTTAGGAACACCGCTTGGCCTTGCCCCCATGTTACTCTATTCTCCAGCATGACGTCATTTGAAAAACCAACTGAAAAGAATACAAAGTGATAAAATACCCCTTTTCATTTGGAAAGTGCGTAAGTATTTCATTTCTCTACAGACGGCGGCTGGACACAGTGGGGCTCCTGGNGCTCCCGGATTAAAGATGTGCCAAAGGAAATGTTTCACTGAAGGCCAGTGTGTGTCGTACAACTTGGGCCCAGTAGACGGTCAGATCAGGACGTGTGAGTTGAGTGCTGCTGATCACTGGATGCGACCCAAGTTCTTGATCTTCAAAGAAGGCTTTGAGTACTGTCCGATCAAGGTTAGTAATTCCATCGTGAAATCTTCAAGAACTGTTTGGTGTTATGGAATTTGTAACGATTTTGCTTCCTTAGAATCCTTGTTCGTCAAATCCTTGTCCAGCAGGTAGACTCTGTACACCTGATTTCAGTTGGGATACGTTCAGCTGTGATGGTAAGTGACTTTAGGAACACCGCTTGGCCTTGCCCCCATGTTACTCTATTCTCCAGCATGACGTCATTTGAAAAACCAACTGAAAAGAATACAAAGTGATAAAATACCCCTTTTCATTTGGAAAGTGCGTAAGTATTTCATTTCTCTACAGACGGCGGCTGGACACAGTGGGGCTCCTGGTGTAAATGTTGTATAAACAAACAACAGAAAAGAACTAGAAGTTGTTCAAACCCCGCTCCTCAAAATCATGGCTCGCAGTGTGTTGGAGAGTCAAATGAGACTAAAGGGTGTCTGACCAAATTTGGTAAAAACAGCTGTTCATTATTAAAAACAGAGAATTGTCGACATAATCATCATAAACCGGTTACAATTCCAGGCTGTATACGCGAAAKAGGGCGMCCCTTGCTGTGGCGGGACAAGCTCAAAAGAGCTCTTCCTCCTTCGAGCTCTCGGAGTCTTTTTAATGGCTTTGTAGTTACTCTTCCTTTAGTCTTATTCACGAGCYTCTATGTTGCAGCGCGCGGGATAAAAAGTGCTCTTGTTTTGATAGGTAGATWKACCTTCTCTCATCATGTGTTCCAAACATCTGCGTGCAARTTCGATCATGTGAACAGCCATTTCGCAGTTGTTGTGATCTTTGMTCATCAACTGTTYTTTAATTTTTATTCATTCGCATGTATTGTAATTTATTTCCAACAGATCTAGAASTCAAATTTTTAGGCTGCTTTAARGACTTTAGATCAGATCGTGCATTACCCAAATTATTAGATGCAGGAGCCAAACCATACAGTATCTGTAGCTGCGCTCTTAAGGTCCATTCTGAAGGCTACAAGATTTTTGGTATCCAATATGACGGCAACGAATGTTACTCTGGTCCATCGGCCCGTTTAACCTACAATAAGTATGGACTTTCAACTAAATGTAAAGATGGTCTAGGAGGATCATGGTCAAATGATGTTTATGAGTTATTTTAAGGTAAGGACAAAAATAAAAGCAGGGATAGTTAATATGCAGCCATCGTCTTGTTGAGGGATTAAAGCGCTGAAATGTTGAATGTTGAAAAATTAAACAAAGCTTTATCTTGAATCTTGGTCCAATATGCCTCCTGTACCATCATGACTTAAGGAATAAAAGACGAAATTCCGTGTTTGATACTCTGATCAAAACACGCGGGATGTAGGGAGAGCACGAGAGAAGCGTAGGAAACCACGACGCGTAGCTTTTCGAGTGCTCTCCCTACATCCCAAGTGTTTTGATCAGAGTATCAAACACGGAATTTCGTCTTTTATTTCTTTTCTAAAATTAAAAGAATACGAAAATTGTAAAGAATTCTGACTTTTGATACGATATGAAACGAGCGTGTTTTGATACTGTAATCAAACATGGTTTTCGACCAATCACAGCGCGCGTAGTATCCTAAATATTTTAGAAATTACAATTATCTGCATTTCAAGAGCGTTTCAAAATGCTTTAATAACTATATTTAGTATTTCTTTATATGTTGTTGTATTGCAGATATTCTTTGTTTAAGAAGACACAACACTATCTGACTATCGTTCAGGCTCATCAATAGCAACAACATCATCGTAGTGCATAATAATTCTTTTAAAAGTCTGAAAGCCAAAGGATCGGCGTGTTTCTCGATCATCCAACAATCTGTTGCCGTGGGTCGATGCAGAACCTCGCTTCAGGAGGAGACGACGGGGTCTGTTCTTCTAAAAACTCTTCTTGTACGAATTTTTTCCTGGGAAAGGGATTTTGAGCTACATTGCTGACAATCTCACAAGCAAATGTGGCGCCCTTCCTTCTTTAAAATAATTTTGTTCCTGTCAAAAGATTTTAAGGTCAAAAAAGCCTTATACATTTTTTAGTTAGAAAATTTCCCGGCAAAAACTTCTTAGAAAGTATATTCCTCGCCTGGATAGTTCTTTTTTTCCTGAATTTCTCGCTGGCAACCAGTTGTGACTTACAGCTGGCTGGGACATAAGAACAGATATATTTCTCCCAGCAACCCGTCGGCTCCTCCTATGGCTTGCTTTGAATTCGGCATTGATAAGAATGTCAGCACCAAGACACGACCATGCCACGATGTGAAAAGATCTCACATAAGATTCGACGTCTGATTCGGGTCCAATGATATCGTATCGGAATATACAAATATGTGAAGAGGTGGAATTCTGTTAAAAATTACTATGCCTTCAAACGGTTTTTCTTGTTATTTGTGGGACTGCATTTCTCATATTTTCAGTTTTTGGAACGACCATCGAATAATAACCCAATGCCGTTTTGTGTATTATATATTTTTCCTTAAAAACCTTTTTAATGACACAATGAATTACTTAATTAACTTAAACATCGAAAGCAATCATATAAATTTATTGGGCCTACGGCGTCCATGTCGTTCAATTAATTCTAGCGTACAGTGCAAAAAAAT